ACCCAACTCCACCCCACCCCACGTCACGCCACCCAACTCCACCCCACCCCACGTCACGCCACCCAACTCCACCCCACCCCACGTCACGCCACCCAACTCCACCCCACGCCACGTCACCCCACGTCACAGCCCAGGAGCTTCAGAAATGTGTCACGACATGGTGGAATCAGGCGCTCGTGAGTTTTTGGGCACGTGGAGTTATTGGTGTCATCTGAAATCTCATTCATTGCTTTGCTTTGTATGAAAAACAAACATCCATCCATCTATCTTGAACAGAAGTCGAAATATTTTTTTTGTTATAGTAGAGGGTTTTACGGCGCTCGCAACTGCATAAGGTCATATGAGCGCCACGGGGTGGGTGTCAATAAAGAAGTCTTTACAGGGAATCAGACTTAGACTGCTCACCTCTCTAGCTTCAACAGCACAAAGTCTGCTTCGACTACCAAGGCACCCCGGAAATAGCAGGTCACAAGAGAGTGACAAACATACAAAAGAAGTAGAGGAAAATGACAATAGTAAGGATTATTAAAGAAAAAGCAGCAGTTCTCTGTTGTAGATCAGGCACAGTTAAGAGCGTGACATGAATCAGCCCATTTGCAATTCTACTATGCTTGAACGAGATATGTCCCCCCTTTGGGAATGGCCTAAAGACACTTCAGTCAGTGGCACTGCCCCGGGGGTGTCGAAATATTTACAATTGAAGGAGGTGGGGGCAGCATGGTTTCAGAGGTAAGATTGGTGAGAAAATGGCTGCCAAAGTTGGGTAACAACCATAATTAACTTGAGAGTCCTTGAAAACCTAAAAGTTACATATTTTGTGCCATTAATTAACGTTTTTCAGTTAAATTCACACGGAAGTGTGTTTTTAAAAGGACATAAAAGGTGTTGAGCCAAAAAGAAAAAAAAATCGATTTTAAAAAATGTCATCAAACTGGGGGTGAAAATGGTGTGAGTTTAACGCCACTATCAACACTGTTAGGTTATTTAAGAGGCGGGACCTCCTAATTTAACGTCCGTCTCCGATAGGACCGAGCCAAGTGGGAAGTTCGTGTAAGGTGCCTTTCCCAAGGACACAACGTCAGACCGAGCTGAGGCTCGAACCCCCGACCCCGCAATCTCACAATTACGAGTCTGGTAGCCTAACCACTAGACTACCCAAACCGGAGGAAAATGCCTTTTACTTCGGTTTCATTATTTTGACGAGTGTGTGATTTTACCACGATGACTCAGAAATGTTCGGGGCCATGCTGTTTGAGAAGCAGAAATTGTGTTTAAGAATCGGGGGTCTGACCTTTGCTGGGGGGCATTCCAGGGATAGGTGAGCGGGAGCTGTGAAGGCCGGAGGAGTCGTCTGTGTGTGCCCACGCCACATTCCGGTCAGAATTACGTCCTGCACGGGGGCTGTATTGGACAAACTCTCTGACTCTCTCACACGGACACAATCTATCAAATGTCTCCGCGACCCCAAGGCTTATTATTGCCCCAGTAGTATTTTCATCTCTACTCTCTCTCTCTCTCATTTATTTCTGTCTCCTTCTCTGTCTCTGTCTCTGTCTCTGTCTCTGTCTCTGTCTCTGTCTCTGTCTCTGTCTCTCTGTCTCTCTGTCTCTCTGTCTCTCTCACTCTCTCTCTGTTTCTCTCTCTGTCTCTCTTTCTTTCTCTCTCTCTCTGTCTTTCTCTCTCTCTCTCTTTCTCTCTCTGTGTTTCTCTCTCTGTCTTTCTCTCTCTCGCTGTCTCTGTCTGTTTGTCTCTGTCTCTCTCACTCTGTCTATATCTGTCTGTCTGTCTGTCTGTCTGTCTGTCTGTCTGTCTGTCTGTCTGTCTGTCT